ATGGCAGACAGACTTCTTAAAATAATGACAGACAGACTTCTTAAAATAATGACAGACTGGCATCTTAAAATAATGACAGTCAAACTTCTTCAGATAAAGACAGGTAGGCTTTTAAAAGGTCTCATTATGCCAGTTAAGATTTGGATATATAAAATGAGACAATAATGACAGGCAGGCACTCAAAAGTCTTCTGCCATCTAAGAGCCAGACATATACAGTTAGACAGTTCAAATAAAATGAAGTATTGTATTGGAAGTCTCATGTTCGGTGTACTGAAATGTTGACATAAACCTCTGCCACTAAACGATGACTCTGATATAAAACTGGATAAAATACAATACCTGTCATTTTTGACAATCAATTGACATGTAAGTTTATCAGTAAAATCCTCGTTTTAGACATCAATAACTGTGTTAATACTTTGAATATGCAGTTACTGAACCATGATCTTGTTAGCACTAGTTACACTGGGCAGGAATTATGGGCAATGTCAACCCAGATTCTTCTAAAGCAAGTTTAATTTCACATAATCATTTTGTACATTTACAGTCTGTGATGAACTGATAGCTTAAACCCCATTGATTTCTACTGGGATATTGCAGAACTTTATTTTCCCTCAGAATCAGTAAAGCAAGCGATTGCAGGCAATGTTAACTATACACATGGTGTGATACTTACGTAAATAAACCACACTCATGCGATAGATAAAATCAAGTTTAATTGCTCTTAAAATGATGATAGTTTTGGCATTCCTCTTCTCTCAAATACAATTAGTTGGTAACAAATTCATTGAGAAAACAACCTTCACCAACTTTCTTCTGTACATATTAAACAAGTGAGTGTATACCTGTTGATTCTTATCTCACCTTATGAACAATAGTTACACATATCATGAGTGACACTGTATAGGAAATGTGGTGAATTATAAAAAATGTCTGACTGTTTGGACAGAGGAGCCAGACATCTGTGAGAGTAAATCTCTTGAGATCACTACTACCCAGGAACACAGCATCAATTAACTTTATCAGCATTGACAACTCTCACTGATGATAGATCATCCAGCTACAGAAGCATCACTGTCACTCCTATCTGATTCGATTTGAATTTAACATCGCATCACCACTAGTTGCTGCTAACTTTAATTTGATTTAAATTTTTGTGAAAAAAGTTCTGATGTCACACTGTATCATATAAATGCTAAACATTAGTTCCTTCATTACAACATGCAATTAGGGAAATACAACTTACTGAATTACCTCCTTGACACACATCACTAAGGCGTCCTCATATACAACAAGGATGAGGCTTATGACTAGAAGTATAGGAGATATAACCTTTTTTCTTGATGCAGGTAAAACATCAAAATATAGGTCAGAGTGACATTGATAGAACCACTAGAAAGACACTTTCATCCTTAAATAAGTCAATAATAAAGCCAATGAGAGTGATGATGACAAGGATGATGAGGATGATGATAAAGTTGTTGTATGATGACGGATGTGTGTTTACTGATGATGAGGAGGAGAATGATGATGACAAGGATGATGAGGATGATGATAAAGTTGTTGTATGATGACGGATGTGTGTTTACTGATGATGAGGAGGAGAATGATGATGACAAAGATGATGAGGATGATGATAAAGTTGTTGTATGATGACGGATGTGTGTTTACTGATGATGAGGAGGAGAATGATGATGACAAGGATGATGAGGATGATGATAAAATTGTTGTATGATGACGGATGTGTGTTTAATGATGAGGAGGAGAATGATGATGACAAGGATGATGAGGATGATGATAAAGTTGTTGTATGATGACGGATGTGTGTTTACTGATGATGAGGAGGAGAATGATGATGACAAAGATGATGAGGATGATGATAAAGTTGTTGTATGATGACGGATGTGTGTTTACTGATGATGAGGAGGAGAATGATGATGACAAGGATGATGAGGATGATGATAAAATTGTTGTATGATGACGGATGTGTGTTTACTGATGATGAGGAGGAGAATGAAGATGACAAGGATGATGAGGATGATGATAAAGTTGTTGTATGATGACGGATGTGTGTTTACTGATGATGAGGAGGAGAATGATGATGACAAGGATGATGAGGATGATGATAAAGTTGTTGTATGATGACGGATGTGTGTTTACTGATGATGAGGAGGAGAATGATGATGACAAGGATGATGAGGATGATGATAAAGTTGTTGTATGATGACGGATGTGTGTTTACTGATGATGTGTGATGACAAAGATGATGAGGATGATGATAAAGTTGTTGTATGATGACGGATGTGTGTTTACTGATGATGAGGAGGAGAATGATGATGACAAGGATGATGAGGATGATGATAAAGTTGTTGTATGATGACGGATGTGTGTTTACTGATGATGAGGAGGAGAATGATGATGACAAGGATGATGAGGATGATGATAAAGTTGTTGTATGATGACGGATGTGTGTTTACTGATGATGATGAGGAGAATAATGATGACAAGGATGATGAGGATGATGATAAAGTTGTTGTATGATGGCGGATGTGTGTTTACTGATGATGAGGAGGAGAATGATGATGACAAGGATGATGAGGATGATGATAAAGTTGTTGTATGATGGCGGATGTGTGTTTACTGATGATGAGGAGGAGAATGAAGATGACAAGGATGATGAGGATGACGGTGACATTTGAGACTCATGCTTCATATGAAATGTTATGTACTGTTATGAAAAAAAAACTGAAGCTTTACTAAAATTATTATCCCTCTGTCCACAATCACATAGCAGTGAATATTTTCCCTGTCATTTTCCATTCATTAAATTCTAGAAGGTGTTGACATGAACTGTATAGATCTTAAGATCATCAATATCCTATAAAATATATTGTGAATCCCAGTGTGACAAGATATAACACCCTACATAAAGTCATGATATGACCCTGCTGTAAGTGGTGATGCCAGATCTGTCTAGGTTTGCAATGATTCTATCTACAGCCTTTGATAAGTATTCCATTTTACATACAACCAGTATAATCTTGTAATCAAAGGTCTGCAAGAAACCACCAACATTATCTATTTCATCACACTTTGGTCTATTGTTTTGGTAGGAAATCTATATTTTCTCAACTGATCGAATGTCAAACAAGAAATCTCACAGGGATCTTGGCACCTAACATTGTTTGATCCTTATATGCTCTTTGAAAGATGGATCTTTTCCCCTTCTTTTCTCTTCTGTTTTTGCTCTTAATGATAAGACATTTGAACATTTATTTGCTGAAATACAGATAATAATATTTACCTGTAAAATCCAAAATGGCCACCTGATGCTATTTTGTTTTTTCTGATAAGTCCCAAAATCCAATGAGCACAAGAAGAGACCAAAGAGAACATACATATTAAATTTGCTTGAGAAATAGCAATAAAAATCTTTACCATGAAAAATCCAAGATGGCTGCCTGTCGGTCATTTTGTTTTCTCGTCAGTCCCAAACTCAAACAGGCAAAACTTGGGACCTAAACAGGTCTAAGCATGAAATTTGAGAAAGATCTATAGAGTGGTTCTAAAGAAATAGTTATTACAAACTTTCAAAGTCAAAATCTAAGATGTCCATCTGTCAGCCATATGAAATTGAAGAAAGATCCATCCAGTACATTGAAGAAAGATCCATCCAGTACTTCTCAAGAAATAGCAATAACAAAATTTCAAAGCCAAAATCCAATATGGCCACCTTTTGGTCATTTTGTTTTTTCAATCATCCCAAAATCAAATGGGCACAACTAGAGACCAATCTAATACTTCTCAAGAAATAGTGATAACAAAAATTGTTTACGGACGGACGATGGACAAAGGAGGCAGACCAATTTGAGTAGCCCACCATCTGATGAAGGTGGGCTAAAAAACTTAGCATGCAACATAATTATGAGCAATACACAGAATGGCATATACATTGCTACATGTGGATATATGTATGATGGAGGCTGGGGTGAAACTTTAGGCAGGTGAAACTTTAGGCTATGATAAAGACTGAGGTGAAACTTCAGGCTATGATAAAGACTGAGGTGAAACTTTAGGCTATGATAAAGGCTGAGGTGAAACTTTAGGCTATGATAAAGGCTGAGGTGAAACTTTAGCTATGATAAAGACTGAGGTGAAACCTTAGGCTATGATAAAGACTGAGGTGAAACCTTAGGCTATGATAAAGGCGGAGGTTAAACTTTAGCTATGATAAAGACTGAGGTGAAACTTTAGGCTATGATAAAGGCTGAGGTGAAACTTTAGGCTATGATAAAGGCTGAGGTGAAACTTTAGGCTATGATAAAGACTGAGGTGAAACCTTAGGCTATGATAAAGACTGAGGTGAAACCTTAGGCTATGATAAAGGCAGAGGTTAAACTTTAGGCTATGATAAAGACTGAGGTGAAACTTTAGGCTATGATAAAGGCTGAGGTGAAACTTTAGCTATGATAAAGACTGAGGTGAAACCTTAGGCTATGATAAAGGCGGAGGTTAAACTTTAGCTATGATAAAGACTGAGGTGAAACTTTAGGCTATGATAAAGGCTGAGGTTAAACTTTAGCTATGATAAAGGCTGAGGTTAAACTTTAGCTATGATAAAGACTGAGGTGAAACTTTAGGCTATGATTAAGGCTTGGGTAAATTTTAAGGATATGATAGGTGCTAGGGCGAAACTTAACGCTGTGAGGGAGGCTAAAATGAAACTTATTCCCCAACAAAGTAAAAATCTAAATAGATTTAATTAATTGCAACCTGTCTAGCAATGAATAACCACATCAAACCTAAGGAGAACTTCAATAGTCGATAGCAGATAAAGGGAAGTAACCCACTGCCGTTTGTGATATACAATATTGAGGGCTTAAATCTATTGTTAGGTAAATCTATTATTCTACAATTTACTTTTGTTATAGATGTTTGAACACTTAAAAGCTGAAAATCAATATCCAGAAGGATGTTCTCTTTCATCATCATACTTACAGGCTGTCTTATTCCTTCATTATCCTTTCCAAGACTTTCCCCTTCTGTCCATCCTAGCTTCTTCAACATCTTGTGGCCTTTGTTTTCTTCTGAGATAGGCCTGTTAGAATAAACACAGACTTACAGATACATTTCCATAGTCAATGCGACACTAGTAAGGGGTAATTAAAATAAGTAAGTTTCTGAGAAAGAATGGGACAGACTTTTGTGAGAGTTGTTGAAAACTTAGGTATGTATATCATATAAAGAAACAGAAGTGGTACCTATGTACAGAAGCTGGGGCCTCGTCAGGTTGGTAAGGATTGTCACTTCCCACAGTTTTCCTCCTCTCATCAGCCTTATCATTATAAGCAGGGTTGTTTATGGCTGACATGTTATCCACATAGGCAGAATCCTAGATAAACAGAAAACATTTTGATGGAATGTGTTTACCCATAATTACATAATGTTATTGATTTCATTTCTCCTTTTGACAAATATATTAGTACAAGCATGTACAGAATTTTGTAGCCAAGGGAAACAATAATTTTTCAAGTTCAATTTAATAAAACATAACACATTTTAATGGAGAAAAAGGAGGGGGTTGAGGCTGGATGGGGAATAGTGACACTTTACTGTTGGTCCTATCTTAACATATGGCGTTGTTATTGTTTTATATGTAAGTGATAATGAATTAGTTACACAGCATGTTAACACATTTTACAGGTATCTATTTATAGAGAATACCTTCAGTCCATACTTCTTCTTTATCTTCTTCAACTGCTGTTTTTGTTGTCTTTGTTTTTCCTCCTTACTCAGGATGACAATTTCTGAAGAACAGAAAACAAACAATTTGTGATAAATTATATAAGTTGAATCAATGATATCATCACATTTTTATTAAACATGCCATGATTTACTTTTGAAAAATATTAAACTACAATACCAATATATGAAATATTGATTCACTTTCATGTACATAAATCAGTGCAAATATTATAGCAGAAATTTTGGAACACTTAGGTTGGTAATGTCAATAAAATAAAACTTCTTATAACACAACCTATTAAGTACTGGCCCACTGTTGTGTACCCAGATGGATCCCTTAACCAACCGCATGAAAACGTTGTTTTCTCTGTTGATTATTTTGGAATTTTCCCAGTCAATGATATGATTTTGCTGTGTGGAATGATCTGTTAGTGCAGAGGTATTAATCTGTGAATGTTTTCCTGCTGATCTGGTTAATTTTTTGCCTTCTTGGAATATCGCATCTTTTTGATGTTCATTGAGTTAAACCCCAAATCTCCTACCTGTTTCTCCGATATATGATGTGTCACAGTTCTTATATCTTATTTTGTATTCGCATTCTGTAACGTTTTCTTTAGGTGTTCTATCTTTTGGGTGGACTAGGATATTTCAGAGTATCTTGTAAGGTTTCATGGCCACTGCAATGCCATGACCACGGTAAATCCTCTGAATGGTTTCTGACAGGTCTTTAATGTAAGGGATTACAACTTGTCCTTTCATTTTGTTTTCCTTGATGTTTCTTCTCTTAGTCTTTTTGCTTATATCAAATTCATTAACTTTCTGGATTGCCCTATCAGGGCATCCATGTGTTTTCATGGTGCTATGGATGTGATTTTGTTCTTGCTTCTTGTCTTGTTCTTCTGTGACAATCATTTCACATCTGTTTAGCAAGGTACAAACAACATCCAGCTTCTGGTGTAAGGGGTGGTGCAATCAGAAGTTGAGGTATAGGTCTGTGTGCCTTCCACAGACTGGGCTTACATTCTAGGGGGCCGTCACTGTAGCTCTTTCTCTAAATGTTCCATGAATAAGTTGGCCATAATCAGATACTGAGCTAACCATGGCTGTGCCAAACCATTGGTGATAGATGGTACTTAGGAAGGCAAAGCATGTTGTTGTTAGCAGATCTGTGACCAAGTGTTAAACAAAGCACAGCCGAATTGACTATAATACATTGTTACCATCTTGTCACATTATTTTCAACCTTAAGTGTACAAAGGATTATAATACAGCCGAAAAAGTTGGTCAATTCTGTACCAGCTTGAACAGTATGTATGCCAGTGCTAGTATTTGGGTTATTTGACTGACGGAGGTGACCTGTGTTATCATCGAAATGTCATACTCTAATCCCCTCCTGGTTGTGTTATAAGAACATCTATTCTATCATAGTAGAAGTTTGAAAATGGTTGCATCCAAAAACACATCAAAATAAAATAAAACCATTTGAAGATTAACAATCATCCAATTAACTTTATCATTCTAATAATATGCACATATTCAACTATTATGATTAACCAACTTTTTTGTGATTGAATCAAGCCTACTTTTCTGTCATTGGTTCTGGACCTGTTGTTGGTACACATCAACCTACCTTTCTGTGACTGGTTCTGGGCCTGTTGTTGGTACACATGAACCTACCTTTCTGTGACTGGTTCTGAGCCTGTTGTTGGTACACATGAACTTACCTTTCTGTGACTGGTTCTGGGCCTGTAGCTGAGCCTGTACCTGTCCTGGTTCACACTCATCACAAGTGTCCATGCCATCATGGATGTGTAGAAGAAGACGAGTACAACCAAACTGTAGAGTATCACCATGGTTCAGGACTTTAGGCTTACTCTTTTCCTTAGGCTGCAAATTAAAATTAAATCATATAACCACCATACAATCAGTACAGTAAACCTGTAACACTCCTTCCATTCAGCTGTTTAGAGGATTAACATGCAATGAATGGCAGCACTTTCCTTTTCTATAGCTTTCTATTATCACAATTGTAATGTCCGAATTGCAGTTTCATTACCATTTTATTTGCCAACTTAAAAGTTCCTTAGATTTATTCCAGTAAAATGACAACTTAAGGAAACAGAGAAACCTTATGTCATTTCTGAAGAAAAGACTATGTATCAAATTTATTCATTCACTGAGTCATCAATTGGACCATATGTTTTACTTGTAATGTCTGGAATCAATGTCTTGAGTCAATTGATTGGTACATGTACAGTAGAACTAGACTTTGCTTGAGAAAAACTTCTATTTATTTATTCAAACAATTCACAATCCATTAAACAGATTTAATTGTTGCACAATGCTTTTTATTATCTGGTAATTAAAGCTTATAATCCACTATTGTAACTATTAAAGCAACTAGTGCAGATTTTTACAGACCAGAACTAGCAGACCTAAGTACATAAAAAAATTGCTTCAAATCTTAAAACAAAAACTTACATTTATCTCTGCAATGTTCAACATGAACAACACTACATTCACATTAGGTTTTAAGTCATGTTATCAAAGTTTGGATATTCTAAATGAAATCCATTATTATCAATGAATGTTTCTTCTGAAAATGGTAATTTTGGTTTTGTACCCAAGTGGAAAGAGTAATAATGTAGGTAAGTGATGTAGGAATAGACAGGTGCATCTAAATTAAGTATAACACACTTACTTCAGACACTCTTTCCTCATTTAGGAACGTGCCATTCTGGCTAGCCAGGTCTGTAAGGAAGTATTGATACTCGGTCTCGTCAAAGTGGATTTCTGCATGAGTCTGGAATAGCAATTATTAGTTACATATTCACGAGTAGAACTAACACAGACTTAAATAAATATCTTGAGCTGGATACTGTTATGAAATATATTGACCTATATTTTAAATGATTGTGTATAAATAATTGAAGTCATAAATAAACACCACAAAAAAAAAAAAATCAAATAAACAGGAGAGAACTTATTGAAATTCTGTTTACAATTAAATGATAAGAAGTGTATTTCAATCATAGTCTCGCTCCATATCAACCCTATATAACCTAAACAAAACAAACATACAAAAAGCATTTATTTAGACATATACATAATGTACACAATTTCCTGTCTTGATGTCTCACACAAGTCACATCAAAGGGACTACTTGTAAAGTTTCTTTTCTTTATCAGGTCACATCCTGACAAAAATTGTCGCTCTGTTCTCCTTATACAATGGCCATGCCAATACAATGACAGAATTTTATGTTTCAATGTATACATGGAAACAAAACTTAAGTGGTAACATGTGGATGACAGTGACTTTGAGTAAAATTATGTAACGTATCTTATAAAGTAACCAGTACATATTTCTTAAACAATTACTCAACATCTAACATTTATGAGGATTTTCATTTACATAGAATTACATAGAGTAAAATTGTTTGCATTAGGTGACAGACATTTTACATTTCATGAATTCTCCTTAGGGCCCCTTTTGTGTCCAAACTGTATAAAAGTGGTGTGTGGTTGATTTGAAACATTAAAAAAAAATTATTTTGGGTTCTTTTATTTTAATGTAAAATCCTGAGAAAGAATTGTATACACTGTGAAATCAAATTAACCTTTTTTTGCTCTGTTCCTATATCCCATGTACAACATGTATTTGTTTATAACTAACTTTGTTGTTACCAGTGGATGTAGTATTTCAAGCTATGTATGGATTATCCCTATTTTTGGCAAGAGTTTTCCCAAAAGTTAGAAGGATATTCTGCATGAATTGGCAAATTTCTGACCAGTTGTACCAGTTGAAACTTTTTCTTATGACTTTTAAAACTATTGTCAGCAACAAAATATCTTTCCTAAGGTCAGTTTGGACAAACAAAATTGTTTGAAATATCACCGGCCAATATAACATTAGACTGTCTAAATACAGCATGCTAAGGACTCTGGAACTCAGTCACTGACTTATACAGTTTTTTGGGGAAGTATTGGTTAAATAAGTACACAGATCAGTATGCTGTTCATTTTCATTGGAATTCCATAGCTTTGCTTGGCCTGTTTTTTTTCATCTTAAAATATACACAAATATTTTCACATTGTTGGACTTGTCAAATCTGTTGTGGCTCAGTCATGGTCAACTTATATTTGTAAATCAACCTAGCTAAATCTATATAGAATTTCCATGTTGGTCGACTTGTCCATTTAACATTAGTTCATCAAGAGTGGCACTACAACTGTCTGGACTTCAGGACATGTCAGCACAATCTGGGTCACGGGATATGTCAAGTCATCAGAGCCTGGGCTCCGGAATATGTCAGTCAACACAGACTAGGTACAGGGGAATGTCAATAATCAGTCTGGGCCTCCGAATATAACAGTCATCACAGTCTGGGTCCTTGGTTATGTCAGTCATCAAAGTCTGGGCCCTTGTTTATATCAGTCAACACAGACTGGGCCCAGGGATATGTTAGTCACTACAGTCTGGGCCCAGGGATATGTCAGTCATCAAAGTCTGGGCCCTTGTATATATCAGTCAACACAGACTGGGTGCAGGGGAATGTCAATCATCAGAGTCTGGGCCTCTGGATGTGTCAGTCATCAAAGTCTGGGCCTCCAGGTATGTCAGTCATTACAGTCTGGGCCCAGGGATATGTCAGTCATTACAGTCTGGGCCCAGGGATATGTCAGTCATCACAGTCTGGGCCCTTGGTTATGTCAGTCAACACAGTCTGGGCCCAGGGATATGTCAGTCAACACAGTTTTAGTCCCATAATTTGTCATCAGGGTTTTTGTCACATAATGTGTCACCACAGCATTGAGTCCTGGACAGTCACAACTAGTCACAGTGTTTCCAAAAGTCACGATGCAGTTTATTCCCCTGGACATGTGTTCTATAATTATGACAGTAGTATAATGAGATAAATGCACACCTTACTAATATTGATGTCAGGGATGAGAATGATGTGGCCCTTCTCTCGTCCCACTGTGGCTCCTGTACAGGTGACGATAAACAGTGTACCAGGATCAACAATGTCAGAGTCAGTTACCATTAAACGTATGCATGGCGGCCATTTACTGACCAGCTCTGTAAAACACAATACACCAACAATATTACACATGTATCAGAAAGGGACACATTTGCAATACTGAATACACTGGGGTGGATAATATATATCTCTTATTGGGATACATTGTCCATTAATGATGTTTTAATTGTTATCCAACATAATGTAAAGTGTGCCCCCATCCATAATATTTGATCAAGTATTTTTAAAGTCTACTGACCCCAAATAACATGTTGTTTGGTAATTATACAGTGCATGTCCTGTACAATGATCCTTGTTCTAGGATTAAGATTACAACTAATGTTGTAAATATTCAGACAACAGAAAAACCAAAGAAATAAATAAAAACCAAAACTAAACACAATTATCAGAAATTAATGTAACATTGTAAATCTATAGTAATCCTCACAATATATAATGTACATTTGATGTGTATTAATTGTTATACCTTCCTCAGCCATAATGACATCATGTGAGTGATCTCCATACATATCCTGGTCAAACTCCTGCTCATTATCACATTGCATAGCTTCAGGTTCCTCGTCAGAAGTACTGGTTATCTCCCCTGATTCCAGCTCTGATTCCCCTGTACAGAGACTGTTACTACTACTTCTACTGTCACTATCTGAAGAAAAAGCCGGCTGCTTCCGAGACTGTGATGATGTCTGTCTTCCATGATAATGTCTAGATACTGTAGCCTTCCGGCCTTGTTTCCCTGATCTGTGCCTATGTTTTTTACCTGAGGTTTCACTGATGTAATTTCTTCGTTTTACACCAGACATTTCCCCTGACTTATGTTTACTGCTGTGTTCATCTCTGGATTTTCTATCACTACCTGACCTTGAATTTTCATGTCTGTGTGAACTATCTGATATGTTTTTCTTAGTTAAGTGTTTGTGAGAATAAGATGAATCTATCTTACTAGTAATATTCCTATCACAAGAATCATGTTCCTTCGAGTGTGACTTTTCCTTATGAGCTGTATCACTATCTGAAGAACTATAGCTAATCTTCTTTTTCTGTAGTTTTCCAGAGGAATTGCTAGCACTGTCTTTTGAATTATGTATCTTTTTCCGTTTAGAATACTTTGTCTTTTCATGTTGTTCACTACTAACATTCATATTTGTAGAATATTCCATATCAGAACGATCATTTTCATTGTGATTACAACCTTCGGTATATAGATAATCCTCTGTCCTTTTAGATAAACCATCATCTTCAGATGCAGACTGCTGGACAATGTCATCATCCAAATCATCATATAAATTGTCCATTGTAGAAGCTTCCCCAGAAGTCACTTCATTATTACTGTTCTCATCAAAACTTTCATAAAGCTCTCCCATATATGACTTTCCCTCTAAGTCATAACTTTCTAGATCCACACTGCTGTTTTCTTTGTTGTCCTCATCACCTTCTTTGCTATCATCATCCCTTTCATCACTATCTTCTGACACAACCTCACCATCCTCAGATTTTTCTCTGCTCTCCCTCACCTTTCTTTTGCTATTTTGTGGATATTTTTCATTTCTTTTTTTATCTGATGATCTATCTTTCCTTCTCTCTTTTGAAGATTTCTTCCTTTTCTTTTTATCTTTATCTTTCTTCTTTTTCTTCCTCTTATGATATTCCTGAAATAAACATGTGATTGTTAGAAAACAAATATTTACCTAGCGCAGTTTCCCTGGCTGTTTTGATTCTAAGGCTTTCTAGGGCTGTAATAACTTCTTCATACTCTTCCTTATCCTAATGAAAAAGGCAAAATATCATTTACGACTTATTTTCTTAAAATATTAATTTGAAGATTTATGCTGCATACAACAAAATCTATTTACTCATGATATTGAGTTTAAATAAAAACTTGCACATTCCCATAACTTATAGCCAAATTACAATTTTTTCTTTTATTTTCTCAAATCTATATCTCAATACCAAACAAGCCATTTAGCAAAAAAAAAAAAAAACGAAAAATTTTAAATGGAAATAGTGAAAAAGGTATAAACTAGTGCATTAGATTAAGAATTATCTGGTGGTCACTGTTTGTACTTGTATACAATACTGCAAGTATACATACAACTAAGTACACCTTATAGAAAAAATTCTTTTAAAATCAAATATCTTTCCGACACGTTTAACATTTTGTTAAACGAATTTATCAAAAGATTTCCATTTCTTCAAACCAACACTGTAAAATCTACATCTTTATTCTGTATTTCATTTATGTTAATGATATGAATTAAACAAACAACTGAATTAAGATGTACACGGTAGATAAATTTAACAACAAGGTTATAATCTGAAGGATAAAAACTTGAGAAACATGGCTAAAAACAAACTCTATTAGTTTCATGTACAGCATTTCATTGATGTTATATTTTCTTTGAAATATTTAAACTAATAACAACATTTTTATTGTTTTTGATAAAGGTATTCAATTGTACACAAAAATTGTATAATGAAGATGGTGATAAACAAACCTTTTCCTCTGACTGAAGCCTTTTGGATTGTTTCTTTCTGCCAGACGCTGTTCTATTTATGGATCCTTCCTTGTCCCTCCTATGTGATGATATGTGGCGGTCATAATCTGCATAAGATTGACTTGATCTGGATGTATCTCTGTCCCTCCTTTGTAACGGCTTGTGGTACCCAGAATCATTAGGTCTGTGGCTAGCATGAGTATGATAATTTCTCCTAAGCTTATCGTAGTTGTCTCCCCTGGAACTAGAGTGGTGGTCCCGGTACTGATCAAGGCCATAGTACTGGTTATGCTGCTGAGAATCCTGTCCTGTGCTGTACTGAGACAAATCGACTTGAGAGTGGAACTCATATTTACCAGTCTCTGAGTTGTAGTAAAAATAAGTTCCTGTATTGGGGTCATAATACAATGCCTTTTCCTGAAAATAAAACTTATTTCTGATGAAATGTTATTATTGTTTGTGATTTTGACAAAAAAGAAATTTTAAAAGGTCAATATTGAAATCTAACCTATACATAAAAACATTTTCCGTAGATAATCTTGAAATTATGGATGTGACCAGTAAATTTTTTTAATTTTGAAACTCATCAAAAGCACATCATACATTGTGTATATATTGTTACAAGACTGATCATCCATGCCAGGTATGCTTCAGACTGTAATTTACTAAACCACATGTACCTCTTGCTAGGTATGGATCAGGATTTAAAAACAGTACACCACTTCAATAACTTCCAATAGCTAATTTATAAGTTTATACATTATACTAACTGCACTGTAGTAGTATCCACTGTTGTAGTCATAGTAGAGTCCTGATTTTTCATCATACACATAGCCTGACTGCTGTACTGCTGCCTCTGCTGTAGCTCGTAGCTCATCAGCCAGTGATGTACTGGACAATTTCTTTTCTTCCTCCTCAGACTTTACCTCATTTTCTATTTTAGTTTCATTGTCAACTTCATGCTTATTATCACTCTCTGTTTTTGTACCTTCCTCAGATTTAGCATTGTCATATGTTTTTCCGTCACCATGTGGTTTAGCACTCTCCGTCATCTGAGCATCATTGTCTGTTTCATCTTCTTGACCCTGGAGAAAAAAAATATTCTGTTCATGTTGGGTTACCCATTAAAGTCAACACATTTCCATGTTATCAATTATAACAAAAAAAAAATTAAGCCATACAAAAATTTAATGAACAATTCATATAATTTTCATACTTACAAAAATATTTTAGTAATTTTCTTCGTTTAAACAATATTTCCTATAATCTGGCAAAGAAGGTCTTCCTTATTTGTAATTATATAATATAAATATATAAAAAGAACTGATAACTTATTTTGTCTTCTTAAATATCTGATCTGTAGCAACTTTGTCAATCAGACATTACATGAGACACAAATCTATAAAATTTTCTTTTTGCTTGAATTTTTGAGAACCTACCTCATTGAATGAGTCATCAATCACTATGGCTTGATCTCTAGATATTCCATTTCTTTCATTAGCATTGTCTGTTTAAAAATGCAAAGTCATGAAAGCAGGTATTGTCAAAAAAATTCAAACAACATTGGATGACAAAATAACATGCATAACCTTATGGAATGACAGAATGCAGTTTTTACTTTGTGAACCAATAGCTTAAATATAGAATCTTATCCATAAGCATGATACTGGTGCAGTAGGGTTAAGGGGTTGAAAACAAGAGGATGCTGTCTCGACTCTTATTGTGTTCCAAGTTGAATGTTGTCAAACAGGCAACAACCAGTTATGTCCCCATCTACTACTCCAGTTCACTGTGACAATGGCATAGAGTGAAATGACCACCAAAAGAAGTAGTTTAAGTTCAACAATTTGATATGGATATTAATGATGATACTTACAATGAAATATATATAAAGCTCTCTGGTATCAGCCATAAAGATAGGCACTCTCAGACAGGTCAAAATGGACCCTAAAACTAGCACTATAAACATGCATGTAATAGCAAAATGCTGACTGGCTTATAAATATGTAATGAAATTCCAGCTAAAGCTAGACAACACTAGTAAAACTGTAAAACTTGGGTATAAATTCAACTACTGGTGTGTCCCAAACGATAGCCATTGGAGAGTCCTCAAATAAATACCAACTGTAAAGTGTTACACCAGAATACAGAGCTTAAACTTAAGGATACTTAAGTATCAACATGTAAATATCATACCAACCCTTGTAATGTTGTTCCCAATGTATATTTCAGCAGGGGTACATGTATGTGAATGACCACCTGGGCCACAACTGTCCCTCTAGCTTAAACTACCTTTGATAAATAAGGCCAACCCCCAATCCCTGGCAACTATAGGCATTAGCTAACAACAACAACATATTATTAAAAGTCAGAATGTTCTGCTGATGGACAGTATGAGGAAAGTACTGGGAGAAAAAAAACATCTTGATGTCGGGGCAGACTTGTGTAGCACTAGAAGATAACCAGAGCTGTCATCATGTTGTTGGAACATGTAGTGTTAGTGAGGAAACAGAGGTGTTATTGCGTAGATGGGACAGATTAGAATTCTAGGTAGTATAGAGCATCTCGCTGACGAGACGAGAAGCATAGATTAACGGTTGGCTGCCAACTAGAAGTAGAGAGAGCGAACATCCAAATATCACCACACTTATAGACCTAAAGTAATCTCTCTACCCAGGAGATTCCACTAACAAAATCCTACAAACATGAATAATTGGTTCCCCTGGAATAGGCAACCAACCAAAAGTCAGTTAAATAAAATACTTCTGCCAACTTGGCTATGAAAGAAGGCAACAAACTGGGTACAGAGTGGTATCAAACTATCCTAGCTAGCCTAGTGATACAGCGTCACTGTATGCAAAGGTGCATAAATATTGTACAGAAAAATCTGACTCTTGCCACATTGGTATTAATATCCAACCTCCTTTATCCATGATGTATATTATAGCAGTGCCTAACATCACTGTAACCAAGCAAGGCCTTTTATGATCTATTACAGTTGTAACCTTGTCAAATACTAACCAAAATACAATGAAGCTTGAGCATAAAAGCTAGTAAGCCAGAGTCCCAGGTTTGATTCCTACCAGAGGCAATGTAACTACTGCGAAATAAGATAGTACTATGTAAGCAGGGCTGTACCAAGTAACCGAGTACCCATATACGGGTCGGATTTAAGAATAACTGGGTCTAAAAATGTGTATCCAGTTACCCATCAAAATTGGACACATTCTGTCTGTGTTTACTTTTCAGATTATTAAAGTAATACAATATCTCACTCTTTTGTTCTGTTTTCATTCACTGAGAATGAAATTTAGTACCCATGACAGGCCTATTTTTAAGTCAAAATATCAACCCAACTAGCTAAAAGAACATCTTTCATCAAGTGCTTATAGTATTCAACAAGGTTGCATTAACTAATTATGTTGAGATATAGACACCTTGGTATTCATTTGTCTGTGTTTCTGCGTCAGTCTTCTCTCTGGCAGCACTTTTAAGGCTTTGAAGCTGGGAATTCAATTTTTCCACTTCACCACGCAGGTCTACATTATACGCATTTGCTTTTTCGAGCTGTCTCTCAGTATTCATTAATTTTTCTTTCACTTTACTAAGTTCTAGTTGACATTGCTCTAACAAATTGCCATGAAGTCTTGCCTTATCCAAGTTTTCAGAGTCGGGAATGCTATAATTTTCTTTTTCCATACTCTCGTCTTTTCTGCAACAATACTTGACTGGTGTTTCACCTTTCTCTGTTTTAATCCTTATTTTGGTGGACATATTGCCGTCTTTATTCACTTGCCCATCCATCGGGTATTTTTATCTGGTCATGTATTGTCTGCACTTACTTGCACGACAGGTCGACACATCTATCGATTCACACAACATGAATTTACCGTCAAAAACAATTCGAATGTAACACATTGAAACATGACTGTCTTTGGTCAATTGTTGAAAAAACTTATAAATGACAATGGAATAAGTCACTGAAATGTGTAAGAAATCTCCAAGTTTGGACGATATCCTTGTTTCTAAAAGAAACCACCATTCTTCCGTCAGAAATCGTCTGCATGGTCCACCATCTTTAATTTTGAAGGTGGCGCTGTGATTAGGGAGATATCGTAATTGGTATAAATCGACTGACATATTTTAAGTAATCAAGAGAGAATATTATTAAACCAGTACATAGAGAAATTCTTAATTTAATACAAGTAGCTCTTTCGTCAAATGTTTATAACGAATAACAATGTAATGATCATATATCTATATTACAAATAATAACTTCTCCTTATAAACGGTCATGTGATCTAAAAATGGCGACGGAGAGGACCTTTCAGTGAGAAAATATCAAAACATGGAAAAAGACCGTTTACAAAATTTGCGGTGTTACATATACAAATTCCACAAACAATTAGATTTGGAACATGTACAGCAAATATATGCACATCTCAGATATCGCTACCTCGCTTGCCGTTTCAACGATGGGATTGTGAAATTTTTGAAAGTTTCACACACAAAAAGGAAAGATCAAGATTCACCAACACTCAAAAATATCACAGGGTATGAAAACGACGGTTGTTTTGGTTTTATATTGACAAGAAACGCCAAGTTTCTTTTAAGATAGAAATCGAAAAGAGATTTTCTGCAATTTCCTATCAAATTGATGACAATTGTCGAAAATAGTAGTTCTCATTTCTTCCATCAAGCTGTCTGGTTTAATTTGCCGTTTCTGACCCAGGACCAGTCTATCCTTTGTTGGTACGGTCGTAAGAAACAATATGCCAATGTTTGTCCAACAAACATCTGGCAATGGTAAGAGTGACTGGATGCTTTTCTGGAGTCATCAGATGAAAATACCTCAACAATGATATTGTACAGTTGTGTATAATGTTGTTTGAACATTATTTTGACTACATAAGATCCAAAAGTCGAATTTGAGACTTTTAAATACTGATCAAAAGTAAAGAAATATCAGGTGATTGTAGTATTTTTCACAAATTGAACAGGTCTTGATATGACAAATACCAGGTTGACCTGAAGAAATTATTTGAGTCTGTGACACCGCAATATACAGTCTCATATTCTTTCTATAAATGGTAATTTCATTGTGACTATATTCCATTGTATACCATAACAAGAAGTCGACTGTTTGATATAATTATGACGTCACTTGAATAATGAGAAACATTTTGTGATGTTGATATTTCTGTCTCATTTGGAATGAAGGGAATGGGATGTAACTGTTCTACAAGAGGGATGTAAGAATGCTACAGTCCTATGATAGCTGGTCCCTTACAGATATGACATCAGTAAAATAATCGTAAACCATCTTGTATTTCCTGAAATGTTAACAAAACTGTGTCTGTCTTTCATATCTGTTTGGCACTTTTCAGAAGGCATCTAGTTTGTATAACATAATGTCAGGCAATGTAACATATCCAAATGAATATTATAATTGCAAAATTTGTATTTAAATGCAAAAAGTGTACAGGGTTTTCCATAAGAGCCAGTTGCCGGCCAATTTGACCGGCTTCTTTGATCATTTGGCCACTTACACCAATCCAGTTCCGTAATAATGTTCCGTACAAGACTACATGTACACAGCAGGCCACCCCCACCTTGCCGCATTGCGGCTCGGGTCGGCTAGCTTCGCCAGCCTCCTACTTTCACTACACAGCCTACTACAAACAAAATTATGGAAAACCCTAAGCGCAGTACTTATTATTATGTTTACACAAAAGTGCAAATGCAAGTTTTCACACAAATCATTCTATAAGAAGTATGTTACAACACATTGATATTAACCAATCTTTGTTTCAAGTAATTTGCTAAGAGCGACTGGGCTTGGGCCCGAGCTACTAATCAAGGTTGAATTATAATCAACTTATAAGGCTGTAACTAATCTAGAATCAAAATGACACATAGTTGTCATTTTACCATTTTGAAAATCCTTTGACAGTTAATAGATTGCAGAGATAATATAATGTTTTTATGGGCATTAACTTCTGTTAATAAAGAAATCTTGTCTTGGTGATTACACTTTCATATCTCCTTCTTGTCATCCCATGTACTCTGATTACTATCATACATCCTTCAGCAGATGAGTGATAGAGCCAGATAAGTTAAATGACTTGGCTCAAGATATGGAGTTAACAGTGGTAAGGACATTGAGTACCTGACATTTCTTCTTTGTACCTTAAAGATTGTAAGTTATTTTGAGATTGTTTGACTTTAGAACATTATAAATGTACTAGTTTTGTTTAGTCATATTTACATTTTTAATATAAAATACTATTGTATACAAAATTCAATTACTGATATGATCATACTTATGTACATGTAAATATGTGTTCTTTCCAGATTTCAGTGGATATATAATTTGAAATCATCATCAAAAAAGAACCTGGGAGTTGCTAAATTTGTTGCACTTTCTGAAAATGGAGAAATACTGACAGGCCAACTGACTGATGAGAAAACCCTTATTACAGACGTACAGCAAGTTCTATCTGATATTGTCAAAGAGAAGGGTATGATATACATTTAAAACAATATTTTTGTGATCCTACACAGATGGAATCATCACAGGCATTTGCACATAAAAGGAGTCCAAAATGAGAAGAATTTTCAATGTCCTTGTTCAATATAGTGCATCTTCAAATTGCTGTGATGATCTCACAAAAGCAAAATATACTTGTTTTTGTGAGTGATCAATTCCCATCTTTCTTCAATTCTTCCATCTTGAAATTCATCAATGTCAACTTCAAAAAAATTAAATTTTACTCCAAGAAATGTATGGAGAGAAATGAAAACAATCTCAGTGTTATGCTTTGCTCAGATTTAAACAGAATTGAAACCTTAAACTTTTTAAATCAGAACTTTTCTGAGTTCTCGCTTCTGATCCTAAATGTATGTAACGCAATGGTAATTATTGAAGCTTACAGACTCTTACATTTGTTGGTGAGGTATTTTGTTTAAAGCTTACTTTGGAAGATACTACAACATCTACAAATAATAAGTAATAAACCTATCCATATACAATTGTGTTCTGTAAAGTTATGTAATAGTGGATGTAATGCCCAGTACCTAGATAACAGACCTTGAGTAACAAGTAATGATTTTAATGAGGATATGTTTTTCACCTGAAGATCTTCATGGTGTACAGCTGATAGCTGGAGAAGGGGAATATGTTCTTCTGGCTTCACCCTCTCACTTGATATGCCTCCAATCAAAGGAAACACACAGTTTTCAGGCTGTCAGCGATATTCCTCTACCGTCCTCACATGGCAACGTACAACAATGTCTGCAAGTCCTGGATAGTGTCGCTGTTGTATTCAACACAGATGAAAACACACTCTGTATCTTTTACACTTGTAAAATAATTGAGTTATTATGATGAGGTAAATCATGGAAAAAGGTCTACGTTACTGAGACAGTAGTGATTTACAGAATTGATCTAGTTTATTGTAGGCACATTAAACATCAGATAAGCTAGTTTTGATTTCAATTAGTCAGTTACATATTTAACTTCAAATGTTTTGGATATTGTATTGTCTTGATCAAATTTTTAATTCCTTAAGTTTTCCAAGATTTCTATGAAATATTAACTGGAAATTTATTTTGCCAAGTGGATCTCCATAGGACCAATCTCGAGCCTGATCGGCTGATACAGTGGCGAATATCACATGACCTACAGACGTTGATGTTACTTGAGAACACATTGTCACTGACCGTGGTTGATCTGGAACAATACACACATGACAATCCTACCTGTTTGAAGAGCAGTACAACACCAGAGTGCACAAGGGAGACCAATGTCTGTCTCACATGTGATGTTGGAGATGTGGTGTGGAGGGAGAAGTTATTCACACTTCATAGTCAGCATAGTGAAACAATGAGCACTCCCTGGTATAGACCCAAGCAATATACAAAATTAGGGAATCACACTGTCAGCAAAAAACGATGGAAAGTGTCTGGATTTCTCAGGAAGTCCAATGTTCAAGAAAAGAAGATAAATTCCTTTCTAGTTGGAAAAGTGTTTTTACCCCCGTCTTTACAGAATATGTCTATTGTTGACACGACCGTAGGTAAATCTGTTGTCTCTCTGGTATTTCACTCTGACAAGGAAAACTTCCTGTGTGTCTATGACACAAAATCCTCAACAGTGACAACAGAAAGGTATGATGTATTTATCTTAAATAGAATTTACATACCTGGTGATAACGACAAGGTTTCAGAAAGATGATAGATGCTATATACTCAATGTCTGACTCTCCATCTCTCTTCAGCCCCAGTAGTGTATTACATAAACGAACCACTTACCTAGCATTTGTATTTGTACATAATTTGTTCAAGATTAACCAAACTATGATTTTATAAAGAACTTGTAATATGTTAACAACAAAGTAAATTGTCCTTTAATTCAGCCACTACTAGTCAGTTGACCCTCCATCCTGATAGTATTTTAGGGGACAATATTCCATCTTTTAAATGTCTTGGTTACGCTGTTGCAATCAAGCTACTTTGATGGTAACAGGATATATGATTGCTTGTTCTTTCCTTAAACAAGAAGACTTGATTAGTTGCTGGTTTTATTATGTACAGTTTTGTTTCCTGTACAGTTTGTGTGCCCATAGTCAAGTGATTCTGTCCAGAGACCCAAACTTCCCACACTTCATTACCACACCAACCCACCTTATGTGTGTCGTCATGGACCAAACAGTTGGACAGGAAGATTTTGTTACCAAGGTAACTTGTCCTTAGTACATCTTGTTTTTGTTGTTCCAGTTTGATCCTATAGAATTCAAAGTGGACAGGGATTGTCATCTCAAGATTTTCTTGGTCAGAACATCAATGTATTATTCCTACTATGGACTTTCTAGAAAGGATTTTCAATGTAGAGTAAGATAAGAAAATTAGCTTAAAATATTTCTCATGCATGTATATTCTGCTGTTGTCCTACTTGTTATCATTCCTTTAGTCCTCAGATACTTGGTTCCAATTAAATTCTTGTCTCTATATAAAAATGACAGTGAGGTTTGAAAAATAAACAAGCATTCAATGATCATTACATTTACTAATAGGTGTTTGATCTGGTATATGTAATGAGTTTTCTCCCCTTACAGATGATGGTGTATGCTGGAGCGAGTGTTGCCGACACACTCTGCCATATAAACAAGTGGGGTCGCTGCTCAATTCCGATCCATACACTAGAGATAGGTCTCAAGCAGCGACAGCTAGACACTGTTCTTTTTTTCCTCAAAAGCAAAGAAAATTGTAAGAAAATGATATTTCAATAAGATGAGGTTATTAATACTTGCAAAAAGTATATCAAGAAGATAGATATATTGTAAATGGTTTTCTATGTAATTTCTAATGTATTACATGAGTACTAAAAAATCACAGTGTTTTTAACAATGAGGAAGCATGTGTTGAAATATTTGTTTATTCTGCCATTTAATCGTGGTATTCAAAGCGAAAACTGTCACACTTGTGTTATATGTGTCTATTTATTACATTTTGTAGGAAATTGGCTTCAGGAAATATCGTGCTTAACATCAAGGCCTGTATGTCATTTTTGATGGGCTTCCCAATATTACCAGAAAGTTAGAACTAGAATAACACTTGATTTGGTATACTATATATTAACATCAAGCTTCCATTTAGTTTTTTCCAGTTCCAAACTAGCTACACCATCCTCTCCAGGAGTGACATCCCCTACTTGGTCTCTGACCACTAATCACCATGACAACCTGATGCAGCTGGAGCCAGCCCTACAGCTGCTGATAGAGACAGTAAAAGTACATCTTACAGACCAGGGATCAGAAAGATTCTCAAAGAAACTGGCTGATATCCTACTAGACTTTCTGTACGAACTGCTCCAGGATGGACTTAACTTATTGGATGTGGTACAGGAATCTTATGGTCATGATGAGGAAATAAAGAGTCTGAATCTGGCTATAGAGAAGTTACTGGACCTGATAGGAGAGGTCAGAGGTTGTATGAATAAGCAGATTCATAATAATTCTGAGTTGAATGGGATGTCAGGAACTGCAGAACGTGTGCCTGATGTTGGTATTCCAGCTAATGAATGGTCTGTTATGTCAAACGAGGTATGTTCATTTTAAATATTTCAGACTTAAGGTTATATAAGATGAAGTATGTGTATACTTAATGTCTGAATCATACTAGGTATTGTAGAATCAGACCTCTCATGTCCACCATTCATTACCACAGAACACAGGCAAAATTGATATCTAGATTGGTTCATACAGTAAACCTACTGAATTTCACAAATGTCCTTGGAATTCCCTGAAACACTGAAAAATTGTAAACCCTGATGTTATCTATTATGTATATCAGTATATAATGAGACAACACTGATTATTTTCATCTCAAAATTCAGACAGAATAGTTACATATAAATATATTTCCAAATACATTATTATGGAACATTTTATTATTTTATTGCAAGGACATATAATATGTATAAATCAATCCCTGCTCATCGGTGGCTTTTATAAAGTATCCTAAGCTGTCTATGAAATGTTATATGTACAACAATACCTTGTTTCTACTGTTGATTTACGTCTCTTTGTCTGATATATTGTAGAGTGGCCCAGATTAAAACTCTGGTGTTATTGATTGTCTGGCCTATACTTACCATGACTGTATTTCAGGCTGTGATTGAGAATGGAGTAACCATGAACCGTATCCCTGCTCTACAGACTTACTTGTGTAGTAACGGACACCAGTCTGATCTTACATGTATTATCAGAGCCAGTTTAAACAAGACCATCCAGTACCTGTCACGACAACAGATTAAACCAGCCCTTCTTATCCTCACAAATCTGGTAAATTAAAACTGTCTCACACTCCTGAAATATGAAAACATTTCAATCTCACAAACCTGGTAGTATCAATACCTCTTACTCTCACAAACTTGGTAAAATAATAAAATCTTACCCTGAAAAACCTGGTAATATTAAAACCCTCTCACCATCACAAACCTGGTATAAAAACTTAATACTTTTTATTCTCACAAACCTGGTAATATTGAAACCCTCTCACCTTCATAAACCTGGTAATGTTAAAACCCTCTAACCCTCACAGGTCTGGTAATATTAAATCTGTCTCATCCTCAGAATTCTGGTAATTTTGAACCCTTTCACTCTCACAAACCTGGTAATATTAAATCCATTTTACCCTCATTATCTCATTCTCAAAAACCGGGTACATGTAATATTTCTGTCTCATCCTCACACACCTGTTCCTATTTGAACCCACTTTACCATTACATTGTTGGAATGATTTTATGGTATAAAATAAAAGTAAAAGGGAATGTTGTGTTTACATGATAAGCTAATATGCCATAGAAGCAGCTAAATTACGTATTTGAACAAATTTTTACGCAGAATGTTGTGATTTTAATCTGTGATTAGAAATACTAAATCGTGGTATTGTTATTGTCAGGGTCTGAACATTGACAACACACTATGGGAGATAACTCTTATGTCAGTGAAAAAATCTACACGAGACTTTATCATCAAGGAGTTACGATCCCGTGCACCTCTGACAAAAGAACAGGATGACCTTGTGACCTTTTCCGACCTCCTGTCTAAACACTACCCATGTCAGTCTTACAGAGCTGCAGCAGCTGGTCTTCAACAACAGGGAGGGCCTGAAATGTATGTATGGTCTCATTGACACTTTCCTATGGTCAATTCATTTATTAGAAGGTAGAAATAGTGAAAATACCTTACAGATATTTAAGACAGGGCCTTTTGCAGTATTTTGTAAAAGCTAGTTAACAACGAAATAACAAGGATGTCATCAAGAACTTTGTTTTTAATTTGAAATTTGAATTCGTGATTAACTTTTCAGACATATTACCATGAAAATAAATCCCTCTCGAAATATAAGTGATTGACAGTAATAATTTAGCCAGAAACTATTTGTAAGAATATGAGATCTGTTAAGACAATGTTTTGTTTTCACTGTGTAGACCACCATTACATAGAAACTCTGGCATTCAGCTTGCTGATAAAAAGTACGACTTATCAGAAGAATGTGGGGAAATTGACTGTTCTCTTGATGAAGATATCAACAAAACAGATGATTCTCCGGAGAAAATATCCAAACAATCACACGATTCCCAGAAACAGTTATCAACGCAGTCAAGTTGCTACTCCCAAGTGTTGATGGACTGGCTGCGGTGGTGGAGCATAGATACTCAACAACTTGTCTTAATGGACACTAGGATAGGAGACAAAGTCTGGAGGGGTAAGTCTGGTCAGTCCTACTGGACACTAGGATAGGAGACAAAGTCTGGAGGGGTAAGTCTGGTCAGTCCTTCTGGACACTAGGATAGGAGACAGAAGTTTGGAGGGGTAAGTCACATCAGTCCTGTTAGATACAGTATAGAAGACAAAGTCTTAAGGAGTATGTCTGGTCAGTCCTATTAATAACTGGTATGGAAAAATAAAAATCTGAAAGGATAACATTGATCAGTCCTGCTGGAGACAGGAGACATAATCTAGAGGGGAAAGGGTTGTCAGTCCTATAAGATGCTAGATTCTAAGACAAAGTCTGGATGAATAAGGCTGGTCAGTCCTACTGGACACTAGGATAGGAGACAAAGTCTGGAGGGGAAATTCTGGTCAGTCCTGTAAGACACTAGGATAGGAGACAAAGTCTGGAGGGTGAAGGCTTGTCAGTCTTATTGGACACTGGTCAAAAAAAGATAAGTCTGAAATTTCAAATTTCAACTAATTTTTGCATTATTATTATTATTTTGATTTTTATATTATTATTTTTTATTTCCACTGACAAGTAAACATGGTGATACTTTTATATTACAGAGGAGCTGAACTGTCGCCTTGATCTAGTGGTGGATTATTTAGCTCGACATAATAAACTGGACTTGCTGAAGAATCTAATTGACCAGGCTGCTGAGTCAAGTGATCATACCATTATCCAGGAAATACATAACCAGGCCAGCAAGATGACTGCCTTTACTTTCCTTCAGCTCACTCACTATTGTGTTCAGTAAGTACACTTTCCTTCAGGTCACTCACTATTGTATTCAGTAACTACACTTTCCTTCAGCTCACTCACTATTGTGTTCTGTACACTTTCCTTCAGGTCACTCACTATTGTATTCAGTAAGTACACTTTCCTTCAGCTCACTCACTATTGTATTCAGTAAGTACACTTTCCTTCAGGTCACTCACTATTGTGTTCAGTAAGTACACTTTTCTTCAGGTCACTCACTATTGTATTCAGTAAGTACATTTTCCTTCAGGTCACTCACTATTGTGTTCAGTAAGTACACTTTCCTTCAGCTCACTCACTATTGTGTTCAGTAAGTACACTTTCCTTCAGCTCACTCACTATTGTGTTCAGTAAGTATAATGCTACATTGCATCTTTTTGTTATATGAAGGATTTAGTTATTCTATAAATAGATTTAACTTTGGAAGGGTTTATCCAAGATTCCGGAATTAACTTACTTCTGGGTTTTTTTCTGTTGGAAAAAACATCCAACCAGAAGTTTGAAGCAGTAACTGTGTAATTTTCATGGCTAGGAATATAAGATCACAATTTATTTTAAATGTTATATAATACCAGTTTTTTTATGATTTTAATCTCCAGAAAAATAGGGTAAATTTAACTTTGAAAGCAATAAAAAAAATGTAAAGTTTTTGATGTGTGTTTTTTTTGTTTAGACACAACCTCTACCTGGACCGGTCTGATTTCCCGTTGTTACTGAAGCAAATGGGATTAGTTGGAGGTCCGTTAGTTGTGCCACACCCTCTAGCTTCCTACTCTGCCCATACACAAGAACGTTTTCATCAAGAATTTGCCGTGTACTGTGTCCAGAACAATCTCCCAAGTCTTCTCTGGCAGTACTGTTTCCTTCACAGGTATTCATGAGTAATGTAATACATACAGTCAAACTTCTTCAACTCAAACTCGGAAAACTTCAATACCCTGCTGGACTTTAAGCACTTAGTCGGTCCCTACAAAACTCTATCTTCATCATTCAGACGCGATAGACTTGAATTTGGAAAACTCAAAAAACTTTGATAATTCAAAGTAAAGATTTGGCCCTGGAAATAAAAATCCTTCTTGAAATAATGAAATAACTGGGAGTATTGATTTTGTGTCAGTTAACTAGTTGACAATAAATGCTGAAATTTTCCTACAAATCTTCCAGTTGTAGTACTAAAAATATCATTACATAGAAAGACTACTGAATGATATGCTATAGAAAGATGTTTTGTTGTAAAAAAAATGGGTTATTGTTAAATTTCATTAGAAATATTGACATAGAAAAGTACAGTTGTACTTACAATCCATGTCTGTCGGCGATAACACACACAGGTGTCAATGTCGTCGTCAGGTCTAGCATGTGCCCTCTCCAAGTGGAACTAAGCTATAGAACACAGTTATTAGCACGAGCTGGGGTTCATACTTAGCTAATGTTTTAACAGATGTTCAAATATAACAGTTAACAGCTGCCTACCAAATTGATAAATTAATGAAACTATATCGTAATAACTGCGGCAGTGCTCATAGCAGCTCTGTATTGAGTAGGTGTCAAGTGTCATAAAGCTTTAAAATCAGGACCGTTTCGCAGCAAATTCATACCAAAACGTATCATTAATGAAAGTGACTGACATCACGTAACTTTAGCATTCGTGTATATATTGAGAAAAGTCTGCACAAAATTTACGAACTTGCTCTATTTGAATACTTTGTCCCCTTAAGTTTGAGTTAACAAAATTCAACTTTATCTGTAGTATTGATCACAGTGTTACAAGTAAGACCTGGCAACACCTATATCATACAATGGTCTAACACCTGCAATACATTACAATACTGAATGACTTTTACTTTATACCTGTATTTGTGTGGAGGGCAAAAACATCTTAGTAATTTAAAAAAAAAACATTTGCAGAGTCCAGTCTGATGTTTTGTACAGAGTGGCCCAGTCCTCAAGTGAACTACAATGGTTGGATTTTTTTGTCCACATGTACTCTGTTGCCACCAACCCTCACAGTAAGTGTTTTCTTGTCAATGATACAATTTGAGATACGATATCACAACTAGTTTTGAGACACATATACATACACATAGATGTTATCATAATGATCAGGGCTAACTGAATGTTATAACTTTACTGAGATTCTGTAGAACCACACATTTGTATAGCAGGTTTTAGCAGTTTATCCTGTTGTACATAATTAAGTTGCGTAATAGGATGCGAGAAATCCTTGCTGAAAAAGATAATATAAGAAATGTGTTGACTGTGAATATTCTCAATAATGATCTAATTTATTGCTACAGATACAATCAGCCTATTTGAAGCCAGTGTAGCTAATGCCGCACTCACCTGGTCACTGGATGATGGTGTTATCCCCGCTCTGATTGGTCAGGGAGAAATCCTCACAGCCCTGGCAACACTTGTGTACTCACCACATCCCATACAACAGGTAGGTCTGTTATCTCTGCTCTGATTGGTCAGGGAGAAGTCCTCACATCCCTGGCAACACTTGTGTACTTACCACATTCCATACAACAGGTATGTCTGTTATCCCTGCTCTGATTGGTCAAGGAGAAGTCCTCACAGCCCTGGCAACACTTGTGTACTCACCACATTCTATACAACAGGTGTGTCTGTTATCCTTGCTCTGATTGGTCAAGGAGAAGTCCTCACAGCCCTGGCAACACTTGTATACTCACCAGATTCCATACAACAGGTAAGTCTGTTATCCCTGCTCTGATTGGTCAGGGAGAAATCTTACAGCCCTGGCAACACTTGTGTACTCACCACATCCCATACAACAGGTAGGTCTGTTATCCCTGCTCTGATTGGTCAAGGAGAAGTCCTCACATCCCTGGCAACACTTGTGTACTCACCACATCCCATACAACAGGTATGTCTGTTATCCCTGCTCTGATTGGTCAGGGAGAAGTCCTCACAGCCCTGGCAACACTTGTGTACTCACCACATCCCACACAACAGGTAGGTCTGTTATCCCTGCTCTGATTGGTCAGGGAGAAATCTTACAGCCCTGGCAACACTTGTGTACTTACCACATTCCATACAACAGGTGTGTCTGTTATCCCTGCTCTGATTGGTCAGGGAGAAGTCCTCACAGCCCTGGCAACACTTGTGTACTCACCACATCCCATACAACAGGTGTGTCTGTTATCCCTGCTCTGATTGGTCAGGGAGAAGTCCTCACAGCCCTGGCAACACTTGTGTACTCACCACATCCCATACAACAGGTAGGTCTGTTATCCCTGCTCTTATTGGTCAGGGAGAAATCTTACAGCCCTGGCAACACTTGTGTACTCACCACATCCCATACAACAGGTATGTCTGTTATCCCTGCTCTGATTGGTCAGGGAGAAGTCCTCACAGCCCTGGCAACACTTGTGTACTCACCACATCCCATACAACAGGTATGTCTGTTATCCCTGCTCTGATTGGTCAGGGAGAAGTCCTCACATCTGCGGCAACACTTGTGTACTCACCACATTCTATACAACAGGTGTGTCTGTTATCCCTGCTCTGATTGGTCTTGGCTGTGATGTGTCTGTTTCTTCAGTAATAGTTGTTTGAGGTTCTGATTTGATACTTTGTTTTTAGATTTAACATTTGTGATATGAAACAAGTGTGAAAAAACCTTTTTTAAACCTGACATAATTTGAATTATTTTTTTAATTTCATGGTCTAAGAATCTATGTACAAATTATTTATGAAACTTTACATTCCTTTCACTGTTGGTGTGAATCCCTCTACTTTATCCATTGTCATGTTAATTGGTTTTTTTTTCAGATTACCCCTGGTACAGATATGACCTCGATGTTTGGTGGACTCAGTATGGAGGCCCTGGAACAGGCCTTACAGCCGTACCCTAAACTTCATGTAGCTCTGTTCCCTACCTCTACCATCGACAAACCTCAAAACGATGTCACAGTCTATCAGTTACTGAAGGTTTGTGATGTTGATGAATTCACTAGCCAACATTGATGACAATATACTGAATTCACAGTGCAATCAGAATTCAGTGCCATAGTTTAAGCATCAAAAATATTAAAATAGGAATTCTGAAAATACTTATATAAAATATTGTAATGAATATTAGTCACCATCAGATTAATAATCATTTTCAAACATTTTTGTTGTGCAGGACAATGCTCCATTTAGTCCAAGCCGGCTTTTTGGTTGGCAGTCCATGAACCGTACTACAGGAGAAGGTTGGTACAAGTTAAAGAATAGAAAATGGCAGAGTTTTAAAAAAAATCACAACCCAAAGAAATGGTTAAAGTGACATCACAGTAAAATATGTTTTATATGTTGTTTTTATTATTATTACATACACTTGGTAAAATTCACAGATTTTATTAATGCACCCTAATGTGTCTTTAAGATATACCATAATACCATATTAAGTCGTAATTATAACTGCTCTCTGTCTGTTAATTGGTAGGATTTTACAGATTAATTATTGTAACAGAAAATTTAAAACGATGTACATGCTTCATTTTTATACTTCCATCATATGTACCTTAATAAGTAGGATTACCAACTTACCATGACATGCAGGGACTATTCTTATTCACTATCAGCAACCTACAACTTAAATCTTTACAATGGACTTTCCAGATTCCCTACGACAGCTGCCCCACTTCTCCATGGCAGAGTTGGTGAACCGGTTTGCCTACACAGAGACGATTAGGTACCCATACTACCTGCGACAAGGCAGACCTTCATTTGCCTTTGCATCCTTTTTGGCGGAACAGTTAGACACAGATCCTACAACCCTGTCTAACAAAAGGTGACAAATTTCCTCATTTATAATAATCCTTCAAAATATCTTTATAATGAAAAGAAAATGATCCTTACTTGGCTAAATAACCAACACATACAAATTAGGAAACCATTACAAACACAACTTGTGGAGCACAATATTCATGTTTTTTTCAAGTTCTATTTCATGGATATTGACTTTGTGGATAAATATATAATGAATGTATTTATTCTTATTTTCATAGTTTATGGACATCTGAATTAATGAATTAGTATTATCCACGAAAATCAACAAAAAAAATCCCGTACCAAAATAAATAAATTTAGTCACTAGAGAGACATATACTGGTAAAAATGTTCAAAAGATTTGCCCCAAACAGGATACATATCAGCCTTGTAGTGAAACATTTGGGGTCCATTTCAGTTATTACCCTCACTTTGGTTTGGGAAAGGCATCAGTGCAAATACATGCTTCTAAATGCTCCTATATGTAGCATTCTGAAATAATTTGTTTGTGTAATTGAAACACTTTTCAAAAAGTTTTATTTCTCTATTGTTGTATGGTTATTTGCAGCATACTCGCTGCGTGTGGAACGGCACTTTGGATTGGAATAAAACACTTTCACAACCCGCAGATTTCCTGTGCATGTGTGGTGTTCACAGAGATGCTTGGACAGAACAGCATCCTTGTAAGGACATATCTACAAGTAGGGCAAGAGATACTACTACACCTCAACAGCAGTTTGACTGGCAACATTGACCGTCGTAAAGAACAAGCACGTCACAACGAGACCGAGATAGGTACGTTGGAATGGAAAAACGAAAAATCAGAATAAGCTGAGGAAGTTAAACCTAGTAAGACTGTTACGATCAGGATATAACAGACGTCACTGTGACCTAGATAGAAAGAATATAACGGTCAGGGTTTAACAGACATCACTGTGACCTAGATAGAAAGAATATAATGGTCAGGGTTTAACAGACGTCACTGTGACCTAGATAGAAAGAATATAACGGTCAGGGTTTAACCAAAGTGACTGTGACCTAGATAGAAAGAATATAATGGTCAGGGTTTAACCAAAGTGACTGTGACCTAGATAGAAAGAATATAATGGTAAGGGTTTAACCAAAGTGACTGTGACCTAGATAGAAAGAATATAATGGTAAGGGTTTAACCAAAGTGACTGTGACCTAGATAGAAAGAATATAACGGTCAGGGTTTAACAGACGTCACTGTGACCTAGATAGAAAGAATATAATGGTCAGGGTTTAACCAAAGTGACTGTGACCTAGATAGAAAGAATATAACGGTCAGGGTTTAACAGACGTCACTGTGACCTAGATAGAAAGAATATAATGGTCAGGGTTTAACCAAAGTGACTGTGACCTAGATAGAAAGAATATAATGGTCAGGGTTTAACCAAAGTCACTGTGACCTAGATAGAAAGAATATAATGGTCAGGGTTTAACCAAAGTGACTGTGACCTAGATAGAAAGAATATAATGGTAAGGGTTTAACCAAAGTGACTGTGACCTAGATAGAAAGAATATAATGGTAAGGGTTTAACCAAAGTGACTGTGACCTAGATAGAAAGAATATAACGGTCAGGGTTTAACAGACGTCACTGTGACCTAGATAGAAAGAATATAATGGTCAGGGTTTAACCAAAGTGACTGTGACCTAGATAGAAAGAATATAACGGTCAGGGTTTAACAGACGTCACTGTGACCTAGATAGAAAGAATATAATGGTCAGGGTTTAACCAAAGTGACTGTGACCTAGATAGAAAGAATATAATGGTCAGGGTTTAACCAAAGTCACTGTGACCTAGATAGAAAGAATATAATGGTCAGGGTTTAACCAAAGTCACTGTGACCTAGATAGAAAGAATATAATGGTCAGGGTTTAACCAAAGTGACTGTGACCTAGATAGAAAGAATATAATGGTAAGGGTTTAACCAAAGTGACTGTGACCTAGATAGAAAGAATATAATGGTAAGGGTTTAACCAAAGTGACTGTGACCTAGATAGAAAGAATGCAACGGTAAGGGTTTAACAGAAGTCACTGTGACCTAAATAGAAAGATTCTTGTAGTCAGGTTATAACAGAAATCACTGTGACCTAGATAGAATGACTCTATGGTCAAGATATATAACAGAAGTCACTATGACGTACTTACAGTCACGGTTTAACAGAAGTCACTGTGACCTAGTTAGAAAGATGCTATCATCTGGATATAACAGAAGTAACTATGACATACTTACAGTTTAACAGAAGTCACTGTGACCTAGTTAGACCAGGACAAACCTGTTCATGTAACTGGCGGTCATATTTTATTATCAGATAAATCAACTTCCCTTTGATCAGATATATCTGTTCCACTTTACATCATATTTTGTTTTCAGCATCTTGGCTGTGTAGTTGTGTTCTGCATCAGAGGAAACAAGCAACTTTCTTGTTAGTTAAACTGGAGGAGGCTATTAGCGCAAGTCTGGACAAGGATGACATTCCCAGGTAAAATATCTGCTTTTATCTAATTAACTCCTCCTGACTAAAAGTTGGACAATGTGGTACACAACACATAACATGATTCTAATTGAGGTGGTAACAGTTTACTGGTACCATCAGTGAGATATATGGAATGAATATCTAGAATGTTTGTTACTTTAGCACAAGTTTTGAAGCTGGTCAGAAGTGGACAATAGCAGTGATGTTCTGTCAAAGTCTACACCTCCAGCTGACCACCAGGTTCCTGGAGCAGTGCTGCCAGGCAGATAAATGGCTGCCTTTCCTTTGGTTTGCTCAGACCCACCAGTATCCTAAAGAACAGGTTAGTGATGTATTAAGATCATTATATCAAACCAGGGCCTGTCCGTTCATGTGTACCCACTGGTTTGTATATATTTAAACTGTTACATTTCAGACATAAGTTAGGGTTGACCTGCACGTGTTGATAAAGATTTGAAATTACTTGTCAGAAAGCAAAATCAGATCTATAGATCTGTATTATAAACAAACAATTTTGATCCAGCCAATCATACTTATGAAAATGACCTGTTCTAGGGAGTGGGTAAATTTTATCATAGTTTATACAGAAAATGACATTTTTGAACATAATTTGAATATTTACCATTAATGATAGTTCAAACTTGGCGAGAATTGTTACTCTATATATTGACTGACACCCAAGGGCTAGTGCGGGGAGGAGGGGTTGAGGGGTGGGGGGTGTCAAAAAAGGGTCAAATTGACTTAAATTGAAAATTTTGTTCTCTGTATCCAGAGTCTAAAGTTCAACATTTGATTGTATGATCTTGTTCATTTGTATGTTCTATAGCTCAAGAGTCTAACAACATTTGATTGTATAATCTTGTTCACCTGAATGTTTTACAGCTACAGAGCCTGCTGTATAAATTCAAGGGTGTTCACCTGCAGCAGCATCTACATTATGTAATAGAAAATGCCGAAACCAAAGCTAGTGACCGAGGACATGTGCAGTCAGAAGGTCAAGGTCAAGCTGGCTCTAAGGGCAAGGACGTACGTTCATCACTCTATGTCAGAATTGGACTTAAGAAAGATGCAGACACAGGTAAGAGACAACTACAACAATGTCAAACCAGTAATAAAGAGTTTGTAAGCTTTACACACATCTATGCCATAAAAGTTCAGAACTCACTTTCTGTTTAAATTTTGATTCGTTTTTTAATAAATGATTAATAGAGAGTTATCTTACGAAGTTCATTTTGTACGGGACTTTGAATAACAAACATATAAAGATTCCCCAAAGATTTGTCCTTCTATTAAAGGTTCTATAAAGATCTCTATAACAGTAGTTATTTTTAGAATATAGAAAGCTGTCCTAAGTACATGTATTAAGACTTCCTGACATATCTAAAAGTCTAGAACATAGAAAGCTGTCTTAAGTACATGTATTAAGACTTCCTGACATATCTAAAAGTCTAGAATATAGAAAGCTGTCCTAAGTACATGTATATAGACTTCCTGACATATCTAAAAGTCTAGAATATAGAAAGCTGTCCTAAGTACATGTATATAGACTTCCTGACATATCTTAAAGTCTAGAATATAGAAAGCTGTCCTAAGTACATGTATTAAGACTTCCTGACATATCTAAAAGTCTAGAATATAGAAAGCTGTCCTAAGTACATGTATATAGACTTCCTGACATATCTTAAAGTCTAGAATATAGATAGCTGTCGTAAGTACATGTATTAAGACTTCATGACATATCTAAAAGTCTAGATGGGCATGATGAACACCCAAGGGAATTCTGTGCCTGTCATTTGATTTATATTTAGAAGATTTTCCCAGGAATTATGACCTCTTTCTTGTTTCTCTCTGTAGATATTAATTTACCTTGTTGAGTGATTTTTAAGGAACTTGAAACAATTTTTAAATTTTGTTACATACATCGGATGGAAACATGACTGATTTTAACCAAAATTCTGATAAGACTCATTTGCTTCATAGAGTTGTTTTTATCTGGTTTGTTGGTGTGATCAAATTTCTACCTTTATATTGAAATGTTGTGTTGTAACTATTGATACATTAAAACTTGATGTGTGTTGTTCTACAGCGGAGCTAAGTAGTGATGAAGAGGACCAGCTTACCTCTGTACCACAAACAGATGATACAGATAATGGGGGTGAGTACATATTCAAAATAGTCACATTTTTTGTTACATTCTAGTACTGTAAAAATTCAGGGCAAATTTATGAATCTTTATGACAGAATTATAGGGATGAGATCATCATTTGTACATGTTCTGGACTCCTGTTAAAATGTACTACATAATGTAGGTAACTGATACTGTAATCTAAATACATTGAATTAAACACAGTCATATACTGTGATTTAGAGTTATCTAAATATGTTAGATTACCAAACTTATTTTGAAGATTTTTTGAGTGTGTCCTGTAGAAGATGTAGAGAGGTATCCTGTAATACCTGAATGCAGTGTTAAGCGGTATCTTAATTTAAGGTTTTGCAAGGTTTTGTATGAATGGTTAGATTTTTATAAACATACGAAATTGCACTGCAGTCTCTTGGTATAAATACTGCATTGAGGTGAAAAGTAAGTGTCAATCGGTAAAAATATATAAATAAAAAAACACTTTCTTCTATTTACAGTGTTGATGGTGGATCAGGACTCTGCCCCTGATGATGTGTTCCGAGTCGTATTTGTAACACAGTCTTCTAAGTGTCAGTGGCGGTCACTGTTGCAGTACTCCATCGTACTACGTAACCCACTCTTCTCTGAATTAGCTGCATGTATATCGGTAGGTAAATCTGATCTAGTCTGTAAATTCCAAGTCAGATGTGTTTGTTTTAACATCATAGAATAACGAACCTTTCATAAAGTTTAGTAAGAAATCTTTTTTATCAGATTTTTGTCCTATTGTGTGATTACATCTTACAAACCAGAGTCTGTAGATTTAGACCTTATATCAGAATACTTTCTCTGCCCTCTCAGAAACCTGCTGTAGGAGTTTTAAGAATTATATTTTTCCCCCTCTAGGAAGCTCCTGGGTTAGCATGCCTATGTGGCTGGCTTGTGGCTATGTTAGATGTTAAAGAACATGACAAGTTCTTGAAGAATCATGGAAAGCTTGCTGGGAAGTGGAACATGCGTCATCTTGGCAGCTTGATTGACATCTATCTCCAAAACAATTGGGTTTCTACTCTGGCCAATGGTTTCCATATCTTCCAGCCGGTAACTATAGCAATACATATCCCAAGCAACTCTACCTAGTTAAATTTTTTTCACCACCTCTTGGTTTCATTGCCATCCCCCCTCATCTTCAACCCTCAGCTCCCATCCTATTTTTTTATTCTGTTAAAATTGGTTTAAGTTCTAATATCTTTCTAAATTATGTTAGATTTTCTTCTAGAAATGTCAATAAGATATGAATGTTTCTAATGCATACAACAAACAGTAACAGTAACCCTGACCTTGACCTTGACCTTTAAACCCAGAAAGACAAGATCTTTTGAGGTATTTTCGTATTTTACCTTTGTATAAAGTTTGATAAAATCCTCCAAAGTGATGGAAGCAGTAGAACGGTGTTAATTAGGTTAGGAACAGGATGGAATGTGACACCATTGTTAAAAGTTTAGTGATATTAACTAAACAACTTGATGATCGTTTCAAACCCTGCTAAATACAAAATTTCTAAATACCACAATCTATCTGAACATTGTATTTCTATAAACATGTATTATAGTAATAATGTAACAAGAGGAACAACTCTCAACAGAACAGCTGACCAGTATTAGTGAGTTACACAGTAAGTCCTTGATACTTTTATTGATTGCTGAACACTCACTTTACAGGACAATCCAATCATTCCATTCTTCAAGTTCTCAGCCGAGTTTTCCGAAAAGAGGAATTTCAGTCAGTGTAAAACGTTATTAGAAGATTTTAAAGAATGCTTCCATCTGGTATGTATTCTGTTAATACTAGTATTTTGATTTTAGTTAATGTGGATTATTTCACTGTTGTATCTGTTTGTATGAAATATGATTATATACAGATTTTACAGATATAACATTATATGTGATACAAATTCTGTTTAAGGACCCATGTTAAAGAAAAGAATTTGAAACTTAAAATGCAAACTACAGCTGAAAATACTTCCTTGAACCCTTGAACTCTATTTGTTTCAGTACTGCCATGAAATCACTGCCGAAGAGCGAGCTGCCATCTATGGGGACACCGACTGGTTTCAGCAAGTGATCTTCAGAGTACTCCAGCACCACTTCACACACACACCTAGTCTGTACGACATCCTGCAGCTCCTTCGCCTCCTTGATAGCGAGAGCATTGTCCTCATCTTTAAGTTTGAGGGTATGAGTACATTGTCTGTCAGGCTTGAACCAGTTAATAAGATTTAGAGCATGAGTTTTCTATAAGACATATACCCAGCTGTAGGTTTGAGGGTTTGAGTTCATTATTTATCAGACATGTACCCAGCTGTAGGTTTGAGGGTTTGAGTTCATTGTTTATCAGACATGTACCCAGCTGTAGGTTTGAGGGTTTGAGTTCATTATTTATCAGACATATACCCAGCTGTAGGTTTGAGGGTTTGAGTTCATTATTTATCAGACATGTACCCAGCTGTAGGTTTGAGTTCATTGTTTATCAGACATGTACCCTGCTGTAGGTTTGAGGGTTTGAGTTCATTATTTATCAGACATGTACCCAGCTGTAGGTTTGAGGGTTTGAGTTCATTGTTTATCAGACATGTACCCTGCTGTAGGTTTGAGGGTTTGAGTTCATTGTTTATCAGACATGTACCCAGCTGTAGGTTTGAGGGTTTGAGTTCATTATTTATCAGACATGTAACCTGCTGTAGGTTTGAGGGTTTGAGTTCATTATTTATCAGACATGTAACCTGCTGTAGGTTTGAGGGTTTGAGTTCATTGTTTATCAGACATGTAACCAGCTGTAGGTTTGAGGGTTTGAGTTCATTATTTATCAGACATGTACCCAGCTGTAGGTTTGAGGGTTTGAGTTCATTGTTTATCAGACATGTACCCTGCTGTAGGTTTGAGGGTTTGAGTTCATTATTTATCAGACATGTACCCAGCTGTAGGTTTGAGGGTTTGAGTTCATTATTTATCAGACATGTACCCTGCTGTAGGTTTGAGGGTTTGAGTTCATTATTTATCAGACATGTACCCAGCTGTAGGTTTGAGGGTTTGAGTTCATTATTTATCAGACATGTACCCTGCTGTAGGTTTGAGGGTTTGAGTTCATTATTTATCAGACATGTACCCTGCTGTAGGTTTGAGGGTTTGAGTTCATTATTTATCAGACATGTACCCAGCTGTAGGTTTGAGGGTTTGAGTTCATTATTTATCAGACATGTACCCAGCTGTAGGTTTGAGGGTTTGAGTTCATTATTTATCAGACATGTACCCAGCTGTAGGTTTGAGGGTTTGAGTTCATTATTTATCAGACATGTACCCAGCTGTAGGTTTGAGGGTTTGAGTTCATTATTTATCAGACATGTACCCAGCTGTAGGTTTGAGGGTTTGAGTTCATTATTTATCAGACATGTACCCAGCTGTAGGTTTGAGGGTTTGAGTTCATTATTTATCAGACATGTACCCTGCTGTAGGTTTGAGGGTTTGAGTTCATTATTTATCAGACATGTACCCAGCTGTAGGTTTGAGGGTTTGAGTTCATTATTTATCAGACATGTACCCAGCTGTAGGTTTGAGGGTTTGAGTTCATTATTTATCAGACATGTACCCAGCTGTAGGTTTGAGGGTTTGAGTTCATTATTTATCAGACATGTACCCTTGTAGGTTTGAGGGTTTGAGTTCATTATTTATCAGACATGTACCCAGCTGTAGGTTTGAGGGTTTGAGTTCATTATTTATCAGACATGTACCCAGCTGTAGGTTTGAGGGTTTGAGTTCATTATTTATCAGAGTTCATTATTTATCAGACATGTACCCAGCTGTAGGTTTGAGGGTTTGAGTTCATTATTTATCAGACATGTACCCAGCTGTAGGTTTGAGGGTTTGAGTTCATTATTTATCAGACATGTACCCAGCTGTAGGTTTGAGGGTTTGAGTTCATTATTTATCAGACATGTACATTATTTATCAGACATGTACCCAGCTGTAGGTTTGAGGGTTTGAGTTCATTATTTATCAGACATATACCCAGCTGTAGGTTTGAGGGTTTGAGTTCATTATTTATCAGACATGTACCCTGCTGTAGGTTTGAGGGTTTGAGGGTTTGAGTTCATTATTTATCAGACATGTACCCTGCTGTAGGTTTGAGGGTTTGAGTTCATTGTTTATCAGACATGTACCCTGCTGTAGGTTTGAGGGTTTGAGTTCATTATTTATCAGACATGTACCCAGCTGTAGGTTTGAGGGTTCATTATTTATAAGACATACCCAGCTGTAGGTTTGAGGGTTTGAGTTCATTTTTTATCAGACATGTACCCAGCTGTAGGTTTGAGGGTTTGAGTTACCCAGCTGTATTTGAGGGTTTTATCAGACATGTACCCTGCTGTAGGTTTGAGGGTTTGAGTTCATTATTTATCAGACATGTACCCAGCTGTAGGTTTGAGGGTTTGAGTTCATTATTTATCAGACATGTACCCAGCTGTAGGTTTGAGGGTTTGAGTTCATTATTTATCAGACATGTACCCAGCTGTAGGTTTGAGGGTTTGAGTTCATTATTTATCAGACATATACCCAGCTGTAGGTTTGAGGGTTTGAGTTCATTGTTTATCAGACATATACCCAGCTGTAGGTTTGAGGGTTTGAGTTCATTGTTTATCAGACATGTACCCTGCTGTAGGTTTGAGGGTTTGAGTTCATTATTTATCAGACATGTACCCAGCTGTAGGTTTGAGGGTTTGAGTTCATTATTTATCAGACATGTACCCAGCTGTAGGTTTGAGGGTTTGAGTTCATTGTTTATCAGACATGTACCCAGCTGTAGGTTTGAGGGTTTGAGTTCATTATTTATCAGACATGTAGGTTTTTGAGGGTTTGAGTTCATTGTTTATCAGACATGTACCCTGCTGTAGGTTTGATGGTTTGAGTTCATTATTTATCAGACATATACCCAGCTGTAGGTTTGAGGGTTTGAGTTCATTATTTATCAGACATGTACCCAGCTGTAGGTTTGAGGGTTTGAGTTCATTATTTATCAGACATATACCCAGCTGTAGGTTTGAGGGTTTGAGTTCATTATTTATCAGACATGTACCCTGCTGTAGGTTTGAGGGTTTGAGTTCATTATTTATCAGACATGTACCCAGCTGTAGGTTTGAGGGTTTGAGTTCATTATTTATCAGACATGTACCCAGCTGTAGGTTTGAGGGTTTGAGTTCATTATTTATCAGACATGTACCCAGCTGTAGGTTTGAGGGTTTGAGTTCATTATTTATCAGACATGTACCCAGCTGTAGGTTTGAGGGTTTGAGTTCATTATTTATCAGACATGTACCCAGCTGTAGGTTTGAGGGTTTGAGTTCATTATTTATCAGACATGTACCCAGCTGTAGGTTTGAGGGTTTGAGTTCATTATTTATCAGACATGTACCCAGCTGTAGGTTTGAGGGTTTGAGTTCATTGTTTATCAGACATGTACCCTGCTGTAGGTTTGAGGGTTTGAGTTCATTATTTATCAGACATGCTGTAGGTTTGAGGGTTTGAGTTCATTATTTATCAGACATGTACTGCTGTAGGTTTGAGGGTTTGAGTTCATTATTTATCAGACATATACCTGTAGGTTTGAGGGTTTGAGTTCAGCTGTCAGGTACCCTTGTAGGGTTTGAGTTCATTGTTTATCAGACATGTACCCAGCTGTAGGTTTGAGGGTTTGAGTTCATTATTTATCAGACATGTACCCAGCTGTAGGTTTGAGGGTTTGAGTTCATTATTTATCAGACATATACCCAGCTGTAGGTTTGAGGGTTTGAGTTCATTATTTATCAGACATATACCCAGCTGTAGGTTTGAGGGTTTGAGTTCATTATTTATCAGACATGTACCCAGCTGTAGGTTTGAGGGTTTGAGTTCATTATTTATCAGACATGTACCCAGCTGTAGGTTTGAGTTCATTGTCTGTCAGACATGTAACCTGCTGTAGGTTTGAGGGTTTGAGTTCATTATTTATCAGACATGTACCCTGCTGTAGGTTTGAGGGTTTGAGTTCATTATTTATCAGACATATACCCAGCTGTAGGTTTGAGGGTTTGAGTTCATTGTTTATCAGACATATACCCAGCTGTAGGTTTGAGGGTTTGAGTTCATTATTTATCAGACATGTAACCTGCTGTAGGTTTGAGGGTTTGAGTTCATTGTTTATCAGACATGTACCCAGCTGTAGGTTTGAGGGTTTGAGTTCATTATTTATCAGACATGTACCCAGCTGTAGGTTTGAGTTCATTGTTTATCAGACATGTACCCAGCTGTAAGTTTGAGAGTTTGAGTTCATTATTTATCAGACATGTAACCTGCTGTAAGTTTGAGGCTGTGATGCCAAAAGCTGTTGTTTTAAAGATGAGAAAAACATAGGATTTTATTTCATGCTGATAACTCATTTTACCTCCTCCAGAGTAATAAATCATAGTCATTATTATACCCAGCACTATGTAGATATACATATTAATTGTCTTATACCTGTCATACAACTGTCCACTGTCTGTCCATGTCAGTGAAGTAGTAAACAGCATTTGTATACAGCTGTCTGTCCACTGTCTGTCCATGTCAGTGAAGTAGTAAACAGCATTTGTATACAGCTGTCTGTCCACTGTCTGTCCATATCAGTGAAGTAGTAAACATCATTAGTATACAGCTGTCTGTCCACTGTCTGTCCACTTTCTGTCCATGTCAGTGAAGTAGTAAACAGCATTTGTATACAGCTGTCTGTCCACTGTCTGTCCATATCAGTGAAGTAGTAAACATCATTAGTATACAGCTGTCTGTCCACTGTCTGTCCACTTTCTGTCCATGTCAGTGAAGTAGTAAACAGCATTTGTATACAGCTGTCTGTCCACTTTCTGTCCATGTCAGTGAAGTAGTAAACAGCATTTGTATACAGCTGTCTGTCCACTGTCTGTCCATGTCAGTGAAGTAGTAAACAGCATTTGTATACAGCTGTCTGTCCACTGTCTGTCCATGTCAGTGAAGTAGTAAACAGCATTTGTATACAGCTGTCTGTCCACTGTCTGTCCATGTCAGTGAAGTAGTAAACAGCATTAGTATACAGCTGTCTGTCCACTGTCTGTCCACTTTCTGTCCAGATCAGTGAAGTAGTAAACAGCATTTGTATGCACTTGTCTGTCCACTGTCTGTCTATATCAGTTAAGT